GAGTTTGGACAGCCTTGGTCATCCCCCTAAAAATGTGGTGTGCCAGGCCTCTGGCATTAGTATTTAGAGAAAGTTGGAGGTTTGGAAATGGTTTTAGGTGAACTAGAGATGGCATGTTTTTAAGGGTAGCCAGGCACATAGACGTAGCCAGTTTCTAAAATACATAGCAAAGGCAATGGCTAGATAGGCACAGTATTAAAAGTTACTATTCAATGCTGCTTAGTATTTATTTAGAATATGGAATAAAAATCTCTTTATTCACTGAAGAATTGCTGCAAAGAGATGCACAAAGAGTCTGGAAATCCCTTGACAGACACTTACACAGGAGGTGATGATAAACAAACAGGACCTAATACCTAGCACAAAGCTTTTACAGGACATATTTTATTAACAGCTTTGTATTTTTGCTCTGCCTGTCAGGAGAATCCTTTATCCCCAAACCTCTCATTGCAGATTTACTATAAAATGTAGCTCTCTATTTTTAATCAGAGTATGGGGAATGAAGGGAGACATACTTCCAAAAGCATTAGCAGGTAATACTCAACATCTCTGAAGGCAAATTTATTGAATACTTCAATTTGACTGTGAACTCATGCTTAAATGGCTATCTTTGTTTTGCTGTTGATGTATCATGTATATTATTCTCATACACTGATGCAGGTTTATTCATTGTCTGCCAAGAGCAGTATATTGTAGTCCTTTCACATGGGGAGAAAAGGTGATATTTTTTTTTTTAGTTATAAACTCTCAGATAAGCCAAAAGACAATGTATTATTTAGGAATATGGTGCAACCAATTCTGCTGTCAGAATGCCAGCTGATAGCACTGCAACAGACTCTGCATATGCCTTTATGCTCAGAAGTGTTATGTTACTGCACCAGACAACTGGGAACATTTAACTAGCACCCGATTTTCAGAAAGGGAACGCTCAACACTTGCTGAAACTTAGTTTCAGGTATCTAAAAAAGGAGACAACTAAAATAAATAAGACATTCCTGAAAATGTACGTCTCATTCTTTTAGAAGAAAGTTAAAAAAATACTAAGACTTGCCAAGAATTTTAAGACTTATTTTGAAGGATACTCTGTATGGGTAAATATAGTACTAAAATATTGCGAATGATTGGTATGGATTTCTTTTAAAACTGTATTTTGACATACAGAGACATGTAGACATAAATTCTGCCATTAGCAGGTTAGATTTCCAAGGCTTCAAGAACCTTTCTTAGATTCATGCAATAGTTTAAGTAGGAGCATACGTTTCAATATAATTTGTTAAATGAAGGGGCCTAGAATTTTGAACATGAATAAACTTGGGTGAACTCCTGGGATCTGTTTAAACTTCTTTTTACAAAAGCTCTCAGCACAACTGGACTCTGCGACCTTGTGAGAGTTGAGTGATATTGCTGCGTTAAATGGGAGATGGAAATGGAGCCTTTTTCAGTAGCACATGGTTAGTTTTGATAATATATCTTACTATATGTTTTGGCAACAATTTGCAAGTGTTGTATAAGCCATACATATTCCTGGAATAAAACAGCTGCTAGTTATCTCTGAGGACACATCTTCATCTTTTCTCTAAAAATAGAGTGACAGATTATATTTACACTAAGTTGAATTTTAACTGGAAAAAAAAAGAAAAGCAGATCTGATGCTATTCCTGTGAGGAGAGGTGGAGGATTATGGAAATTCCAGTTATTATGGAAACAAAGATTGACTTTTCAGAAAACTATTGCTACTATTATTTAAAAATTGTCATTGTTCTATTCCCTTATACTCTCTTGATACACAAGGAGTCTTGGCCCCCATTAGGAGAATTTCACAATGTAAATTACGGAGAGTGCAATAAATCATTGAAAAATAGTATAATATGTAGACAATAATATACAATAAAAAGACTGTACAGATCTTGAATATTTATAGTTATTTGTAATTTATGTTATTTTTACATATCTTCAACTTAATGGATGATAGATTTATTTATGTTTTAAAACCAAAATGTGAGTAAGTTGGTCTGTAACATATAAACTCTAGCACTTATCTCTAGGATAAGACTGACTTGATCAACCTTGAGGAGTTAAGCGTTGCATCTCCTGAACTACTGATAGGAACTTTAGCCTATTCCACATAGCTAGAGTGGGCACAAATTAAAATGTGTGTGAATAAGATTCAGTTCATCCAAATACTCTCATAAATCACATGTTCCACTTTATTATCCTTTGAATGCCTCCTGTTCAATTAAATACATTACCTGTTGGATAATCATTTTATGATGAAATGGTTAATTGGCAAAAAAAGCATACTCAGCTTTGGATTGTTACTTGCTTGATCACTGTATTTTTGACCGCTCCTGTCTCCTGAGAAGGTTTACCTATACAGCAGCTTGTAGGTTATGTAGGGAAGTGTAGTCACTGTAACCCTAAAGCAGCTATTCATATATTTTTCATTTCTCGTAAGTACTTTCACATTTTGATAATGTGAATAATTTTATTTCTAGGTGTATAGATTAACAGATCTAGCACTGTGCTTTGGATTGGAACAATAGTGGTAAATCTGATTCCCTAAAGCACTGGGGAATCACATAGAAGTGGTTTCAAACTGCCCTGGGACGGTCCCTGATGCAAGCTCATATCAATTGAACACTTAAGGACTAGTGTGAGACCAGTCTCCCTCTCCTGTACTTACAGACATAGCTGCAGCATCTCACTGGCTTCATCCCTTTTTTCTGTAATTGATGACATACCAACCCATTCCAATGAGTCTCTTCACAGACAATCGTATAATTTTTGTACTCATAATACAGTTTCCCTTGGCTTTGTGAGCTGAACTCTCCAAAACTAGCATGAAAAATACAATCTCTTTCTTCCAATTTTATAAAAAACCCCCGCAGGGATAGCTGCAGCTCAGAATTGCCATTCAGACACAGCTGCCAGCATACTGGGGTAGTACACCACGCACGGTGGTGTCATTTGGAGCAGCCTCATAATTCTCTCAGCAACCCCAAGTCTGCTAGAATCCATACAAGAATCAACTGGCATAAATTACCACCACCTTTAAATACAGTTACTTAGCAAAATTACTTAGGATTAAAATGACAAATGCTAGTAGCTAAGGACAAAATTCCATATTGAGGTGTAATAAATTATAAAGAGAGTTCAATATATTCACTAGAAAGAGAAATCAGAGCCTCAAGATACATTTGTAATTAAAGATGTCTATTTAAAGTTTTATCTCAGTTTGACCACACACTCATAATTTATGAAGCTGTATGTTCTGATGTCAAGAAATTAAATGGGAATTGTGAACCTAATAGCTTTACAGTAAGAAAACGTATATCCCAGTTACAAAACCAAATTATTTGATTAGTAAATCTGCCTGGCAGATCTGCTGGGATTCAGAGGAGATCCACAAAGAGATAAGCATTTCAGACCAATAATGGCTGTCTACTTTCAGTGTCTTTGGTAAAATCTGTTGTACAGGTGGGTAAAGAAAGAAGCATATACTTGCATTGAATGGTGTATACATAGCTGATAATGAGAGTCAGCCTCTCACTTGTGGTCTTGTCGGCCTTCCCACCTCTGGCTAGTACTAAGTAGCAGAAGAAATGCCATTGCATCCAATTAAATTGCTTGTGTAAGTGAAAGCACTTGACAATGTTAATTTAAAAATTATCTAGAGCGCTACACCAGGACAGGCATCTAGAGACCTAAGTCCTTAGACTAGACATATGACTATTGCCTACCTCCTTTTCCCCTTACTATATTCTCAAAATTATTACTTAATTTCCTATTATAGTAATCCAAACCTATTTGGTCCACAAGATCTAATGAGAACATTCCTTCTCACCCACATTTCTGTTGCCATATAGAGCAACTCTGTTGCTACCTGACAGTGAAAAAGTGGCAAAATCTCAGAAAGATGGCTGGTAGTGGTGCAGTATATCCAAACTGTAATGAACTTGATTGACATTGAGACATGAGAGATGTCATGAAAAAGAATCAAACTGTCACAGAAATAGAAAGCCCCCACATTGCATATGGATGTTTGTGTTTTATGTTTATATGGTACACTTGTACGGTAGTCCTTATTTTCTCTGCAAGTTTTATCTATGCTCTTTGTTAAAACTCCTATTTAGTTACCTTCAGCTGATGTTTTATAGCAACAGTCTGACATGAAGGCTTGTTAATCAGACATCATTTTGTAAACAAGGAAAGCATATGCTATATACAGAATAAATGATAGCGAATTGTGAATTACAAGCCTATCTCAACGCTGAGGTTTTCTTCAGTGACCTTATGAACTATGGCAGTGAGTTCTAAATGGATTATGAAGTAACCAGAACTCGGCGATAGCATTACGCCCGTATTGTTAAAAGTGGGGTTTCAAAAAACTTGGCAGGGCACTACTTTTAAATTAGAATCTCTTTATTCCAGCTTCCTATTTCCTTCTCTCTTCTCATTTAACCTCCCTTGTAATTCATTGCTGTCTGTGAATACAAGTAACTATGAAGTAATTTAAAAAATAATGTAGAGAAGGAGCATATACAAAACAATGACTAATAAATTAATGGCTGAATGATACACCAATGCAGGTAGATTTTTCTAGTATATTCACATTATAATCAGAAATCATTATTTATGACATGTTTGTGTAATAAATACACATTTTTAGATGAGGGCAAAATCTGCTTTTATAGCTCTTTCTTCAACAGTGAGGAGAACACTGATAATGTTTATTCACAGTGTTTAAAAGGAAAAGTAGTGAAACAAACTCTTACGAAATAAGGATGGGTCTGACCTAGGTCCAAACCCATAATGAACTTGTGAAGAACCTGTTTCTTGTGGTCTGGAGCCTCTACCAGGTAGCCAGATACTTCCTTTGTGCTTGTAAAACTCTATTAAAAAGCATATAAGTAAGCCTTAGAAAGCTGTAGGAATTTAGTGATTGATCAATACTGATGGCATTCTATTTTGATGGTTAATATTGTAAAGAGAGTACTAACCTGATCTGAAGCCATGTGAGCATTGGTGTTGTGCCCCCACCAAATACCCAGACTGTGAAAAACACAATAAGCAGTGCTGTTGTAAACATCATTTGTTTGAGTTGGGATTCTGTGTCTCGAATAGCCAATGCAAATGCTATTGCACCACGTAAACCTAAAAAAGATAGAGAAGAATGACAAACTTAAAGTGATGGAGAATTAGAATTTTACTCTTTTCATCCCAAACCCAATTCCAAGGGCACAGGAAATTTTCAGACCATGATTGTACTTACAAAATGCTGAATTGTGCTAATTGAAAGGATGGTGTTTAATGCAATGTAAGCAACTTTTTGCAAAAGTGGAGAATGACGCTACTCTCATATTCACGTAATAATCACACATTTGTTTTACATTCACTGAATTCTTTGTCTTGAATAATTGCAAATTAAATAGTAACCTGGACTTTATGCATGTTAAAAAAGAAATCTATTCACTGTGTTGTTTTATTGACTTCAGTGGGATGACTCCTGAAATCAAGTGCGAGGGAGAAAGAGGCTTGGCATTAAAATCTGTACCCAAATAGGCTACCCATTTCTTGCTTGAAAAACTAGAAAGTTTCTTTCTTTAAAATCTTTCAATGTGCTAATAACAGCCAGAAAAATTGAGACTTAAAAACAATCAATAGGTTTTAAAAGATTAAGTTTCTAAAAAGGGGGTGCAGAATAAATGTAGATTTTTAGCTCTTAGTGTACTTGAAATATTATAATAGTTGTAAAATTACATACCTACAGAGACTGAATAAACAAAAACTTATGAATGTGGAGAAAATAGCTAACAGTGAGTTTAAAAAAAAAGCTCCATAGGTAGTAATAAGCTAACTAAATAGGTTCTCTGAGTGACACATTTAAAAAAGAGGGGAAAAAAAGCCCGCTAGTGCCTCCAGCTCTCAAGATGCATAATACAAATAATACTCTATATTTTCCAATGCTTTTCACTTATCTATTTAAATTTACTTTATTGTTTTCTAAAAAAAAAATCCACAAAATAAGTGTAGAGAGCAAAGCCATTACATGTATACATACTGAATCCAAAAAGTACTTTGCAAGTATTGAGAGATTAAATCTAATAATTAAACCTCTTGTAAGGTACTGATAGTATATGCAGAATCATCTAATCAGCTGCTAAATGCAGCTATTTTTGGAATAGAAGTCTAAAGCTCTTTAAGATAACGTAGTTAGAATGTGAATTATTTGGTATAGAAGATGGACAGTTTATCCAGAGAACAACACAAAGGCATTTCTGCAAGGAATTACCAGACTGTAGTTACGCTAGCTGGAAATGGTCAGTGGCAGCAGGTTTAAAATCCCTTGCTTTTATGAAAATAACGCTGCAGTCAACAAGTGGGCATGTCCTTGACTTTGCTTTTATGTAAAAGACATCTTTCAGGAGGCACAGGCTGTACTATTTTCTTATGGGAAAAAAATATCAGCTCATTTTAAACATGTATCTGAGGAGGGAATGAATCACTATTGAAATGGTCTTTTTCCAGTGGTTATAGTGCTAACCTAGGTGACTAGCCCAGATTAAATGCTTAAATTATTGGTGGCTACATTTTAGTGGAAAACAAGGCTGCTTTCCACAAACACATCAGAATAGCACATGCAATATTAAATCTAGATAATTTCTTTTGGTAAAAGGGAATATAAAAAAAAATGTTAATATGTCATTAAGACTCTCTACTTCTTGAGCACTGGACTGGGTGTTTCTTCAGTTAGAAAAATAGAGGAATGCCTTCACTGCATTTTTCCTTTATAAAAGGCTCAACATTGTCTATAACACCTAATTCAGTTGCAACTAAAGACATGTCTAAAGTAAAATAAATAATCAAACAAAGCATTTGCTTCCAGCTAAAGCAGTGGGAAACAGATGAATATAACCTAAAGTGTAAAGACTCAATGAGAAGCAAGGAACACTATTATATATATCAAAATACATTCCAGGCAACAACAGAAATGAAAGAAGGGAATTTGAACAACCTTAGAAGATGGTAAGATACTGAAATAGACCAAAGATAAGGAAGGTTAAGTTTTCTGTAACACCTCAGGGAAAAATACCAACAAAGCACAATTGGCTCCAATGGACATTGGTACCTCGGCTACACTTGGAGAGAGTGATGTGGTAGAAGGAAAATGCTCTGATGAACCATTAGCAGAGATTTCTCCCCTCATCTTTCTGAGATGTCACAGCATCCAGTATCTGTGCTGTTGATCTATTGATCCTTTGGGCTCTATCACAGATTTCCTATCAGATTTTTCTGCTAGCTGTGCCAGCCATTAGGGATTCATCTTTAAGAGATATTCTTTAATGTGTCAGGGCCTCCAAAGAAAACGACCCCAGGGTTAAGCTTTAGAGGCCCACAGAATAGAAAAGGTGTCCCTTACTGGGCTGTTACCCATCGTTTGCTCACACTCCACAAACACATATCACTTTGAACCCATTCCTCTGAAGAGCCTTTGAGGGCAGTAGTGTTTGTGGGTAGTGTAGAGAGAATCTGCCAGCAAAGGAGACTTTCTGTATGTGGATCTGGTGTTTTGGTTTCAATCGTAGTTCTCTGCTCATTTCTTTCTTGCTTTTTTTGCTCTTTAGCTCATTTCTTTTCATATCTATCTTGGAAAAGTTCACTTTGACGCTTCCTGCCACGATGTATGTATGAGTGTGCAGATGTAAATGCCTGCACAACAGCTGCCTGGAATTATTTTTCGTTTTCACAGGAATTCTTTTTCGTTTTTCTTCTGCATTTGTGTTCCACCCTTTCAGATTCCACTGCTGCTGTAATGTCGTATATTGAGAGCAACCACCCCCATAGCACTGTGTCCCACAAGCCTCTCTCTTGGTGATTTATATACTGTAGAGAAGAGGAAAGCACAGTAAAAAGTAAATAGAGATATTGGAAGAAAAGTGGAAGGTGCAGTACTGTACCTGTGAAATAGTCCCCTCCTGGTCATGTGGCAGTGATGCCCAAATATCAAACATGTTATTGCCATTAATAGATCCATCTGGATCCATTTAGTTTCCTTCCCTTTTAATTTATTACCAGTTAAAGGCATCATAGCAGAGTCTGAACTGAAATGAGGCATTTTTGATGCAGCATAGACCACTAGTGTACAGTGGTATTTCTCTTACAATTTAAGACATTAAAGTATTTCTTTTTCACATGAGCAGAGACTGCTGGCCTGCTCACTTTAGCTGATGTTGAACTTAATTTGAGAAGCTCAAGCTTAATTATACAATGACTAATCTAGTTTTGATTTACAATGAAAAATTATCAGGAATCATGATTAAACATAGCTGTAAAAATGAATCTACCCTCCGTAATGTGTTGTTAGAGGAGTGGCAGAAGCAGATGAAGAATGTAAGAAATTAAAATGCTCCATAATCCACTTCCACACCTAACTCTTCCACCTTTTCTCAAATGTATTAACAGTCCTCAAAAAGTAGAACTTAATGACTTCAGTAGAATTCTTTGCAGGGTAAGGTATACTCAAATGCTGATCGACAATGTACTTAGCTGACCTTAATTGCTTTTTTCAGACTTTGATATTCATGATGATTATGGCAATAAAACTCAGTAAAGAAAGCTGTAAATGTTTGATGCTATACCAGAATATTGCCACTGATCTTGTGTAGGCAATAAACATCTTCCTCCAAACTCAAATTCAATGCTTTGTTTACTCATATCAGAAATGTGTCTCTCTTCTGGTAGTCATTGTCTTCTCTGTTTATCACTACATACAGTATGATCAGTTTATAGTAAATAATAATGTTATTGGTAACTAAGCACAAATCTTAATGTGCATTAAAAAGTACAGTCACACAGAAAATCCACATATCCTAAGTGTTCTGTGAAGTGTGAAGCTGCTGGCAGTGTAAGAGGCTTTATTGTTCTACTTGCAGATGATGCCATTTACTGTTTTATAATGTTGTAAGGACATTTTTCTCTACAAAATACAGTGTTTCTTTGAAAACAGTTAAAAATTACTTTTCTGAGAATTTTAACATTTACATTTTAGAAGTTTTCAGTACCACTATTTTCAGTTCTCAGCTGCCAGATTGTACTGGAAAGCTAATGTGTGAGTTCTCATGTTCAGTTGTTGGCTGCAGGCTACTTTCTGCTCCTAGTTCTGTAGAGAATGAAATTTGACTGGAGAAAATGAGGATGGAAAAGTTGAAGAATAAGATATATTTTAGATTTTTAATTCTATACTTTATCTGATGAAAAATAAAAGCAAAAACGGAGCCCAGAAACTAGATAACTAATGATATGAAGCTGTTTTTCATGCTGTTGTCTAGTTTGACATCTGCTAGCTTTACTGGAGTGATCTACATGTACATCTTACATGGCTAACAATTGTAGGAGAGCAGGCAGTCTGAAAGCCAGTCGTAATGGATCTATGTCATCATCTCTCACTACAATCTAGCTGGTATTAACTGACATTTTCAGTGGCAGCTTTTAGCAGAAGGACTGAATGGATATAGAAATGAACTACTGTGTTGCTCTCTAGAGAGATGAAATTATATAGGCATAAATGAGGCACCCTGATGTGGAGTACTCCTGATGAGGAAGCTTGAAATGTGGTACATTGTATTTTACTTGTTATCTAGCTAAATAGACCAGTGCACATCAAGGCTGTCAATCAGGAACATTTTATCCATAAAAATTTGGAATATTTTTTTTGTATAAAAAGCAGCAAAATGAAGGGAAAAAAGTGCTTTCTAATTTTAGAAAATTATTTCATAAATGGCATTGGGGGAATCTATGTTTCTGTCTTCTACTGAACAAATATTCTTAGCTTATAAGTGAGGTTTTTTCCTAACTAGCATCATAAAGTCAAGTGGAGGTATTTCTAGCTTGTGCAAGTCCAAAAATACAGAATCCAGCTGAGATTTTAACAGTTCAGGGGATGATGCACACATCAGAGTAGAACATGGCTCCCTCTTCTGGAGATAAATTTTTTTTTTTTCCTACAATGTTAACTAGAGTTAAAAATCAATAAAATCTGAATTTGGAAAATAACGTACTGAAATATCAACCTGGAATACATATGAAAAAGTCTGTGGAATTAAAGTCTCCTAATCTCATGTTTCAAAATAAAACTGTTCCTGAATTTAAAGAAATTGCCAAAGGCTGTGTCTCATTTGAGTATCAGTACTAACACCTTCAAAGTTGGATATTTATTTGCTGGTACGTAAGCATACTGTTAGGTATACTACAGATGCCTTTAAAACAACACAACATAAACCCATGGTATTCGCAAATTGTCATGGAAGTGTAGACAGATGAGGAACACTGGGTTGAAAGACTGGCTTCCCGGGTGGTAGGTTTCAAAAAAGTTAATTAAAATAGGTCCAGAGCACAGTGAAGTTGATGAGAATACATCCATTTGCTTCAGTAGCTTTGAAAAGACTATCTTGACTTTTTTGATGACTTCTTTGTGATAGATGTGGCTTTTTCTAGTGATAGATGACTATCTTTGCAAGTTGTTAAATGTGGACAGGAAAAATACCAAAATAGCACTTACCTGAAAACATCATCATGTGCTGAAAGTTCCTGGGAATCTTTTGTTTTCGACCCAAATTCAAAAGGAAAGAAAGTGGGTATATGTTGCAAGCTCTTGCTACAAAAACTGCCACCTAAAATGTAAGATGTTGAGGAAAATGGTGGAGGAACTACTGACAAAACCAGAGTTAACTTAAACCCAGTATTTCTCCAAAGTTATTTTAAAAGTGTAATTAAAATGAATATGAGATTATCTTCCTTCATATTTTACGTCAGATCCTTCTGGTTCCAATTTCATTACAAATTGTGCAGTGGCAGAGATTATTTTCCCCAGACATCCTGGTTTTGTATTCATCATTATATATACTACTTCACTCGCTCTACTTTTACTCATCACATTTGTATCACACATGACTTCATCTTCAGTCCTTCAGTAAAAATGCCCATCATCAATTGCAGAGATGGCATTATCTCCTTGAGCAGCAATTTGCAAAGAATAAATGTGCTTTTGGACATGATTATTACTTTCTTATTTCCTGACAATTCATATTGTCTATATCTAGCACTCTTTGCTTCCCCCCCCCCTTTGGAGATTTTTCAAAAGGAGTTCTTTATTGCTCCTCTGGGGAAGAATCACAAAAGAAGTTGCCTTAATTAGAAACGTGAGGCTATTTCAGATTTAAAAAAAAAAAAAAAAGGACAATCAGAGCCCCTCATACATGCTTTTAGCAGGTTTCGTCCTCCCCGTGTCTTGTGACTCTTAGGGCTCAGTTATGGTACTCTTAGTCTGAGACATGCTGTGGACTGTAGAACAGATGAAGTACTTGAGTGGCAATGTCTATATGTATCATACCTGCTGAGCCAAGAGCTGCTCAAAGCTCCTATGGACTTGGGAGAACATGCATTAGGAGTGGTGGCTTCACATGCCCTATGCTCAGCTGTCCTGTGCAACCCTGTTGCAGTCTGTTGGCTTGCCATGAGAGGAGACGACAGTAGCAGGTCCCTGCAGTGCTGTGCAGCACAGTCCCCACCTGGGTGCTGAGTGCTGCTCCCACGTTCAGCTGTCTTCCCATGCCAGGAGTGCAGGGGACAGTCTTGTACTTGCCTGGTGGTGGGGTGCAACAGGCTCTCGTGGTCCTCTCTGCCTTCTAACCCAACCTGTAGCCAAGGGAGCTGTGATGCAGTTCTTATTCGTTGGGAAATTACATATAAAAATTACTGCAAGTAAACTGTATGGTCCCAACTTTCAAAGCTATTACAGTTCAACAAAAAGTGATAAGCAAAGGGCTGCTGCTCTGAGCCAAAACCATCATTGTGTAAATTGTCAGCCTGAAAAGAATCTATACCACCATACAAGTAAGCAACAGATTTGTTGAGAAACCATGGCAGAATTAAAGACACAGACTCTTTTTCTTACCAGTCTCTTTGGCACATGATGGTGTAAATAAATTCATGTACACTAGATATATCAAATACAAAGAAGGAAAGATTTGAGCAATGCAGAACTGTTTGCTTTTTAAGGACTTAATATCATTTAAGTAGCTTTGGTGAAGTTCTGCTTATGGCACATACCTGTCTGGAGGCAGCTCTACAGTTTGTGGATCTGCACTGGCTCTGGATGGGCAAAAACATTTTGTGTGCCTACACCTGTGCCCACAGATGTGTCCCAATACACATCCCAATTTCCCACCCCACTTGTAAACCAGTGGCAAAGTTCCCCAGCTGGTTTAAAGATATTTGCCTTCTAGCAGGTACACAAAACAGCAACTGTTAAAAGACCATGAGCTTACATGCATTGAGTGTTACTGAGATATATGTAATACAGATGATTGCCTTTGGACTTGACAAAAAAATTATTTTTAGTATTTATGGAACTGATTGATTTGCTTGTTGACTTTTTTCCCCCACATGGAGCACACGTTCTTTATATATATAAAAAAATATATTTATACATGTACATAGATATATACTTTAAAGCAAAGGATACAAATGCACCAGTTATAAAAAGAGGATTGAAGATATGATTTTGAAACGTGAATAGTGCGAGTCCCATGTAACAGAAGATGACATTCTCAGCCAAAAAATTCATGAACTCGAACAACTTAAATGAGAGAGAAAGAACATAATTATGACTCATGTCTGTAAGTAACTACTGTTTATCACCAGGTTCCCTTGGAATACAGAACTGTTTAGATGAAAGGAACAGAAATCACACCTATTTCAAGGGTAGATTTTAAAACCATCTAATTTGCTCTACAGTATACATGGTGTCTTTTAGCTTTCAAAAATCATACTTGCTTGCATGTTTTTCTCTGATTTGTGTATAAAAGCTTGACACAGACAACTGATAAAATACATAAACAGCAAGTAAGTTATACAAGCTCCAATGCAAACTGCAAGGAAGCTGAGGGAATTTAACTTCGCTCATATTTACACAGGTGAGCCTGGAAGATGGCTCCCAATTACACAAGTGGCTATGCATAATCCAGTACTGGGTATGGGTACACTAATGCTAAGAGAGAAAAAAAAAATTCCTAAATGGACTTTTAAGAACCTGTGCCTTTAAAATATAACATTATCTTTTATTATTACCATGAATATTATCCTGTAGATGAAAACTTTTATTGCACTGTTTGGACATCACTATCAATTAAACATTTCAAACCAAACTATTTAAAGTATCATTTAAACATATTATAAAATAAGCCTAAAATACATGATTATGGTAGGATTTCTTTGAAAAAACAAGCAAAGCCAAAATATTCCTTTGCCTTGAGGGGATGTTTTTGATTGCATTCACAGATGATTATATAAAAACTAATAAAATAGATTTTAATATTTATCCACATCTGGAATAAATCAATCATTGCTGCCAAATAACTGCAGCGGAGAGAAAAAGAGGTCTTTTAACTTCTGAAGTCACTTTTGGGCTCAGGAGACTACGCTAACAAATCCTGATGCAGAATTAGGGCTGAAGTTTGTCAATCGGTCTACATCCAGTCATACATCACTATCCAGAAGGTTACTATGGAGATATTTTATTCATCCTCCACGGGCATATGTATTTTTTGTAATATGTTTGTGCTTCTAAAAATAAATATCCAATAACAGTCACTAAGATCTAACAAAGAAAAAATGAGAGCTGTCAGAATCATTATTTAAAACAAATTTCAGAGGCAAAATGGCATAAAACACAGTAGTATATGGGAAGATATTTTGGACTCCATGGCAGCACCATCGATTATCCCAAGCACACATTCCATAGCCCCCATTTTGTGCTGCAATGCTGAACAACATGAAAACAAACACAAGAAATATTTTCAAGTTAATAGACTTAAATTATTTAAATTAAATTTAAATGAGAGAAACCAGTTGTCAAAACCCCCTCAAAGTAGGGGATCTTGCAACCCATAGAAATTACTATGATAAATCTTTGCATTTCCATTTTGGGAGCAAAAATGATTCCACTTCTTTGTAGGAATGTCATCTAACACATTTTTCTAAGGCTTTAAACAATGTATCAGGAGTGTCGTGATAGGATCTATATATATAAAAAATTGTGTATATATAAAAATCTTTTGAGGGAAGGGTACTGCTATAGGAGCCACAACTGCATACTTTAGTTGTTGGGATAAGATAAAGGTGCTCCAGAGGTTTTAAAGCTGAATGATACTTCACTCTTCATTTACAAAATTTCATTCAAGACTTAAAGAAATGTAAAGCAGATCTATTATTGATGCATTTTCGAAACATGGTTTCTGAAATGAAAGTTTCTTTCTTGTATTTTCCAAACTTTTTGTTAATGTACATTTTTTTAAGGAAACCAGATTTTGCTGTATCATTGCTTTTGCTGTATACTCTTTCTCAATAATCTTCAACAGTAAATTCAAGATTTTACTCTTGCCTGAAGTGCTTTCATGACATTACTGCTTTTAAACTTCTCACCCCTTGTTTCCCAGCAATCTGGTGAAGATGCAGTCTTTATGTATTTCTTGTAAATTCAGTTTAGTGCATCTTTTACGTTTCCCTATAACTTTACCTTCTTTTCTAGCTACATACATCTTGTTTTTTCCTACTTCAATGCAATTTCAAACCTCCAGAATCATATCAGTAAGTGATTCTTAAAAAGAAAACCCCCTAATTCTTGACTATGTGTTTTCAATCAACACGAACAATATATACTTTCTTCGCTCACTGGGCCAGTGTTTCCTGTGCCACCAGCATAGGCCTATTAGTTTTCTTAGCCTATATTCACAGTGTATGTAACACTTTTTAGCCACGTCATGTAATCTCTATTGCAGTTCTTGAATCACGTTGCCGGACATCAACTGGTTTGTTTGCAAAAGCAAATACAATCCAAATCTCATTTTTTCTCCTGTGAATTTTGGTGCTGAACTGTGCTGGGTTTTTTTTTCCTGTTATCTCTAGTTTCTTTGTATTTTGATTTTCCGCTATCAGAACACTGCCTACTTGCTAGAAGATTAAATCCAGACTAGTTTCCTTCCTTTGTATAGCAAAAATCCAGGTGCTATTTCAATAGCTACTTTAGAGTAGGCTCCTTCCTATTCCAGGCACAGCCATGATATGGTTTCTTATGAAAGATTCAGCTTCTTAGAATAGTAAAACTAGCTCACTAGCTTCATTCAGAGTCTTCTGTATTCCCCATATAGTTTGCTCTCTCTTTTAAAAAGTGTATCACTCAGATGACACATTTATTCATGCAGTGCAACCTATTCAAATTTCTCACCCTGAGTTAACAAAAAAAATTATTAAAAAATATAACTGCTTCAGAACTAGTTATTGTCATAAAAGATGTGATATCTGAATGCCTTTTCCTGGAACACAACACTTGTGGATATAACGTAAAACTTATCCACTGTCTTCCAGACTTCACTTTTATTCCTGTATTCAGCACAGTGTTTTATTTAGCGTTTCTTCAACTTTTGTGTTTTGTTCAACAGTAATACAGAGCCCATGGAGATAGTCCATTAAGCACTTAACTGTCTGCGCCATGCAGCATAAATCCCATCAGAACAGAACAATTTATTCTAAAGAGATCTTCTGAAAACCATGTTAAGAAACAACTTCCATAGAAGCATTTTCCTAAATTGTCATGCCTTTCACACAAATGTTTCTGTCACTATTTTAAAGACGAGATGTCAAGACCTTTTGATGAGAAGCAGAAGAATAGGAGGGAATAGGTTTTCATCTGGATTTATAATTTCCTGGGACACCCAAGGAGTTCCAAGAAGAGTTGCACCATACACATTAGCCTCTGAAAAACATCCTTTTTTGTCTGAGCGGCCATAAGCCAGGTCCATGCTATGGTCCACGGTCTATGTAAATACCACTCAAAAATTTTGCTTCCTTTGAATATATGTACTTGCAAGGGGGATTACTTGCATGAAAAAAAAAAGTTAGGATTAGAATCCCCAATATTGAGTCCTTGGAAGTATTTTGTTTATAACCATGAATTGCCTTCCCTTGCCTCCTGCACAGACAACTAACCTCTTTTTACTCTAAATGATATAAGCATTAAAGCCCTCATATGCTGCCATAAGTTTCCCTAAGGCTACCAGAAAATTATACTAGAAACTATTTTAATATACACATAGTAATAAGAAATTTCTTCTGTATAAAACTAAAAAACCTCATTTGTAATGTGCCATTCTACCTCTCCACGAAGTCTATAAATCTGCTTATTGCTTTAAAGTAAGAGTTGTAATAAATCACCAGTGTTAACACATTGCAGAGTAGAGTATGAATTATAAAGACACCGGCTCAGAACCCATCCAGGCACTTGGTTTAGGTGTTTAGCTCAGTGAGTTACTGAAACTGGTATTTGCTTTGGTTATTTTATCTGTAAAAAGTGGATATTACAAACTTTTATATTAAAAATGTCTATTAAAATTGACATAATATTTATGTGTCTAAACCCACATCATTCACCAAATATGCTTAGTTTTCCTATTAGTCTCAGCCATTGTAAGTACTAAGAGGGAGGTGCAAAAATCAGTTTTAAGTTGGGACATTCTGGAAAGTACCGCTTGCAGTTCAGTTCTCACTGGCAGAGGAAGGAATCAATCCAGGTTATCTACACCTTAAGCCTTGCTGTAACCACTAAGCTTATCTTCTACTGATGTTTTATTTTAACTCAAGTGAAAAATTTTATATGCCATAAAAACTGTATTAGTTTTATCTTTTGAGCAAGATAAGGAAAGTGCCTTGTTTTTTCTTCTCCTTCCTTCCCTTGACCCCCACAGTTAACTTCAAGCTAATTAGAGAAACAAGCTATGCCAAAATGGGTTTTGCAACTTGATCCATTTTATAGAACTAAAACTCTCACTGAGTGTTAGAGAGATTATCTAGGTAAGTAATTAGTGCACCTGAAAGATGGGACACACTAAGTTTCAATCTCAGCTGCAACAAAAATAGGATTCTTTAAAGGAGCTTTAAAAGGAGAAAATGAACATATTCTATGCCACAGTCCACTCGTAGCTGGGGATATGGAAAATGTAAGATTCCTCAAACCCTAATATTTTGAACAGCATTTTTCATCTCAAGGGAATAAAGCTAGTATGAGAGTACTGAGTAAGAGCATAATTACAAACAGCATTCTTTCATCTCAAGGGAATAATGTTAGTATGAGGGTATTGGGTAAAAGCTGAATTACATCCACAACTTACTTACAGTGAAATTCAGTGAATTTTGTTCACTGATGGCAATATTACATTCTTTCACTTGATTTAATACCTGCTGAAGGTATGTCATCCACCTCTTGCACGTACCTGCAAGTCTGCTCTAGTTGCATTGATTTTGCTAGCAACATGGAGGAATGTCACCTGTCTAGGGGTTACATCTTAGAGTGATATATTCTTGTATGACATCAACATAGGGAGAGTTTCAAGAGTCCAACAGTAGCTAGGAAGCTAGGATGTAAAATTGATTATACTTTTTAAGAGAAATTTGAAGGTGAGAGCTATTAAAATCCTAAGGAGTCAATGTTAAGTGATGGTTATAAAATTTGTTATATTTGAATAATGCTATTTAATTAGAACACAGCTATCAAAACTGTTCCATGAAGTCAAGGATATTGATAAA